GGCATGAATGCCTGTCCTTATTAACAACATGCTGATGAGATCTCCCAGTTAATACGCTTTACAAGCCTGTGCAGCTGGGTCTTCTTGGTGAACAGAAAACTGCCACAGTACCAAAACCTCCTGTAAAGAAAGTGCTGGGGCTGTTGCAGTAAAGCTTGGTCAGAAAGAGCCTATAATGGTGGACTCTCGAAACCTCCTTACTCAGAGATTAACCGAAGATGTGTGTGGAACCGGGACTGCTGGGCTAGTGCCTGCTCCTGCAATTCCTGCCCTTTGCAGATTGCAGCAAGAAATTTTAGGATTAAAGCCTGTTTTGACTATTATTCCAGAACTGGGAATAGATTTCAGGAATACTGCTGTTCAAAGAATGGGTAAGATGCACTTAGGAGCATTCAGAAGCATCAAGAAAGACTATGAGATGCCTCTTCCCTGACTGGAAAGAACAACCTATGAATAACAGCTTCCCTCTACTATTAAAGGAGTAGAGGAGCTATTAAAGGTTCAGTGTGACTATTGGTGACACTTATTAAGACAACTTTAGCTGAATGGCAACAAGAAAAATTGTTGCTGAACAGCTATGGCACCCTGCAGGTAGTTTGCAGAGCAGCTGCCATGAGTATGCCGTGATTTAGGACAAAGCTTGGCAGAGACTTTTTTTATCTTCCTCTCTCTTCCAAAATACTAAAACAAGCCTTTCTGTGCAAGGAATGGGGATGATGTTGGCATTCCCAGCAAAAGAAACTGGTATCGTTGAATATTGTTCCTGGCAAAGTGGCCTAGGAAAAGGAGTAGATTGAAAAACCAAAAGGCTATTCTCACTGAGCAAGAAAAACTGCTAACAAACAGATATACTACCAATTGTAGTATATGGACAAGGCAACAAGAGAGCTGGAAGAAACCACCCCAGAGAAACTGGTTTTGTGATGATTAATCTCAAAATACTTTAATTAAAATTTTAAAGGTGTGCTTTATACTTTTGTGTACTTACTCATAAGCTCCAAGTTACTTCATGTTACATAAATTTGTGTTAGACATAATTCCAGCACACTCTACTGAGGGCCTGGCATTTAAAGGTTCTAGCCTTGCCACAAGAGGTATATTTAGGTTTACTTCAAAAGGAATTTGCCCAAATTCTGTATAATCTTGCTCTAAGCACTGGCCGTTTGACTAGTGTGCAGCTAAAGAGAGGGTTTATATTCTTGCTAAATATTGATGTAGGCATCTGTGAAACTGTAACTATTTGTGCACCACCTTTGCAATGACCAAGAATTAAAGTTATTTTCATCCTTAGTGGGTGAGGTTGTGGGCGACTGTACAGAATATTTAGTTTTACTTGCCAACAGGAAGGAATCTCACTAATCATATTTCCATTATTGGAGACCACACGCTTTCAGCTCTCTTCTTTATAAAAGTGACTGTAGTGCTGGTCCATGTGAGTGTACCTATTACTTTCAGCACCAAATTAACTATTTATTTCCTACTTGCTGAACATAGTCTAGATGTATTATAAAATAAAGGGGATGCATTTTTTATTAATTCCAAATTCATGCCAGTGATTCCCTTAGTTTTATACGTAATTCTTTCTGATGTTTTCCCTACACCCTTCTGCTCAGTGCCACCATAGAAGAGCTTAAAAATGAAACGGGGTAGAAAGTGGCTCAAACTACGTCATTATTGAAGTATTATTTGAAAAATTGCATAATAGTAATGCTAATCCAAAGTATAATGAGAATAAGTGACATTATTCATATCTGTAACCATTATATAATAGATAACACTTTATTGTTCTGCAAGCTTGTCCATGTATTTTGGACTTGGGAAGTTTTACATTCCTTCATTACTGGGAATTAGTTGCTTCTGGTCTGCTTGGCATTCAATGGGTTGAGTTCCTTCAGATCAGGCCCCATATGTATCCTGGCTCCCTGCATAATTCTTTCCTTAGAATACCTACGGAAGGGCTCCCAACAGCAGCAATACCTTTGGGAAGGTGTTCCTTACAGACCAGAGTTCCGGGGTCAATGCATATTGCTCCTGGCAAATGGCTGACTTCAAATTCACCTGCTGTCCAAGTATCCTATAGAAGCCTGATGTATTTTTAACCAACTTATTAATGCAAAACATAAAATGCTTTCTGACACTCAACATTTAATCTTGAATATATCTTTGAATTCTAATGCTGTCTGAAGCTAGAGGAATACCATAGTCACAGAAGTACCTCTGCTGGTGTCTGCAATAAAGCAGTCTCTTTACACTATTTCACCCAATTTGCAGCTCCCTTGGATGGTGTTTGGCATTTGCAAATTAAGATGGTTCTACCATGACTGTCACTGGCTGGCTTTTGAAATGCACGTTACCTGGCGGTTCCTTGACCTCAAAAACCAGAACTCAGTGAAGAGTTAAGCCTTTAATTAAGTATGTTCTGACAATTGCTTTAGTCACTGAAAACTATGATCTTGTTTCTATTGACTTACAATTATAGCATTGGAGTAAAAAAATTGCAGACTTTGTACTGGCTTGTTATAAATATAACATAATGCATACTCTGTTTTCTGTTTCTTAACCATATTTGAAGCAGTAGACTCTCCAGTCTGCAGGAGTCTATCTTGCATTCTGTGGGTAAAATCCTGTCACATGTTGTCCATGTCAATACCAGTTTGTATTCTATTCCAAAGCAGTGGGTATATGCGTGAACAAAAGGGGATGTCTTGGGTTTCACACACTGAGTGTACAGCACTTCACTGTTTCATCCCACTTGATCAGTTTTCAGTGATGAAATTGCTGGACTTTCTTTTCTCTCTGGTGCAAATGCACTGCACTGTAGGGTCACAGATAAACCTTATGCAGCATCTCACTTCCTCTGTGTCCACTTTCAAGATCTAACAACATGTTAGACAACACTATTGTCTCCTGTGTCTCATGGAGCCTTGGTGCCTTCAAGTCCCAGAAGTGGCTCCATTTAAGGGCTGTGTCTCTATGCCAGTTCTAATGAGTTAAGTTATACTTGTTGTCATAAACCATCCCCTTTCTGGGCAGGCAACAGCAGCAATGACAGTTTGGTTCCTATGAAAGGAGAAACTGAGGCAGCGATATCATCCTGGTTACACAATAATATGAAAACTTCCTGGCTCACAGTGATATGTTAACACTTATATCCTGAAAGTTTGACTCACCTGACAGGAAAAAAATAGAAAAAATTTAAAACTTTTCCTTGAGAAAATTCTAGTTAGTATATTACGATCCTTTCAATTTTGTTCTTAGTTTTGATGGATAAGAATTGAGATGTTTGACTTAACTCTGGCAAACCTACATAGTAGTTTATTCATGTGACCAATCCTTTTTTAGGATTCTCTCCTCTGAAGTTGGTCTTGGGAGAGAAATCACATTCCAGAATAGCAATGCAGACACGTGGGATCTATTTGATCTCTGCTTTTAGCCTGAAGTCTGTATTTACTGGGGAGTGACTTGTTATGTTTTGATATAGTAATAGTAGTATTCCACAACCACTAAAATGTCTAAAAAAGCAACCATATTTTATTACAAAAAACTATGCATAGATCCTTTTTAGATGGTTTTTGTAATCCAATTCCCAGGGGAAAAAAATCATACTGCATAAGAAAAGATAGTATTATAGAAAATTGCTAACTCTGAAGCTGAAAATAGTTCAGGAAATGAAAATAGAAAATAATTTAAAACTAAAAGGGGAAGAAACGAGACAGGTACATCTGTAGAGATGGCTTCCCACTAATGGAGCATTTGCTTATTAATGATTTTAGTCTGAGACAGTTGTGTTTTAATTAATGAAGAATTAAGTGCAGAGGTTGACACAATCTCCTTGCCTGACTGTAAAGTCACTATGAAAAAGAAAACAAAGCCCAAAGCTCAAAACTTTGCCCAATATGCAGAAAGAAAATAATAAATCAAAGCAGCTTAGTATTTTAGGGTTGAGTCTTTCCACTACCCTTGCTCTGGAAGTGATCAACAGTGACTGGTCTAGTACAAAGCTAAGATGAATGTTCTGCAAATACAAAACACGAGTTCCTCCTCTTTTTATCCTTCCCAGCTTAAGGTTTATCTGGGGAAAAACCAGGCCTAGAACATTGACCCCAGAGCCACCTTCTGATGGCTCTGGGACTGACCAGCCTCTGTGGCACATGGACAAAATGCGGCCCTCGTTCCTGTTCGGGAACAGGCGTAGGAACTGCATCCCAGAACGTTACTCGGCCTGCCCTGGGTCCCGCTGGCCCAGCAGCACATGTGGGACTGGTTTTCCCCCTGCACGGCGGGGAGCAGCGTCCTCGGGGCAAAGCCAATGATGTAAAACCGAACGTTGGTCGTTTAAAATCGGTTTGTTACCAGTACACTGGTTTGTACTGTGATTTCTGAGTTCTTTGGGGTTTGCTGTGAGCTGCAGCAGAGCACCATGAGAAGGGAGGAATTTGTACAGTGGCATATTCAGTGTGGGGTTTATTTGGACCAAGTGGGATCTCTGAACAGATACGTGATGATCAGCTGCTGTAACCCGGCAGGAGCTGCTCCCTCATCCGTGGAAGGATCGGGATGCTGTTTGTTGTGCTCAGCTCCCAGTTCCTGAGTGCCTACAGGTTTCTGTGCGATATCGGTACGAGGGAAGTGCTCGCTCCGAGCAGCGTGCGGGGAACTGCGGGCACTCGTGTGTGCGGAAACCCAACACTTAAGGAGCACTCGTCCGTGGGGTGCTGTTTCAGTCCCCGGGGACGGCCGCGAAGCAGAGATGCTGTCAGCGAACAGCTGGAAACGGGAAGGGACGTTCTGCCGGGCACCGCCCCCGCAGCGGGCCCCGACATCGCCGTTGCTGGGCAACGCCGTTGCGTGGGAACCGCCGTTGCAGGGCCCGTCGGGCCGGGCTGTGGGCAAACGCCGTTGCTGGGCAATCGCGCGTTGTGGACAACCGCGTCTGCTGGCAAGGCGCGTTGTGGGCAACCGCGCCGCGCTCCGGCGTGCTCCGCGCGCGCTCTGGCCTGTGGCGGGGGCGCGCCGCCGCCATCTCGTGCGCGCGCCTGGACATGGATGCAGGTGCGGGGCGGGACGGGGGCCGCTGTCGGAGCGCTCCGGGCCTCGGAGCGGCCGGCTCTGCGGGACCGCGCAGGCCGAGCGCTCGCGGCCCCGGAGAGGCGCACAACGGGCGCTGGGGCCGCTCTGAGCCCGCAGCCCCGGAAGGCCCCGCACGTTCCTGCCCCCGGCCGGGGCCGCGTTTGTCCCGGGTGACGCCCTGACCGCGATTACTTTCAAATCTATTGTGTGGGTCCAATTCTTACTGTTTTTCTCTTGTATCAGATGATACAGGAAATCGACTTCGATTCCAGCTGGAGTTGGAGTTTGTTCAATGTCTGGCAAATCCAAATTACCTCAACTGTGAGTACTTAAATACCAGAACCCTAAGGTTAATATAGTTTAATGGTGTTTAATATTACTAGTAATGTTAAACAGGGAGAGAGGGTTAAACAAAGAAAAGGGAGTGGGTCTTTCACAGCATAAATATAGTCTGTAAATAATTTGCCTGTTTAACAGGTAGATTTTTTTTAAAATGCAAAGTCTTACTTGTTGAAATGCAAAAAACATCTATTTGGTGGAGAAAAAATAAGTTCAAGTCTGTTATTAAATAGTAATGTTAGCAGCATTCCTTTATCTGAAAACAGAATATTACTACTGTGAATAGTTTCAGGTACTATACTTAACTCCCTGCTAATTTTGATGCTACAGTCAAAAATTTCCTGTTTCAAAAAACTGTTCCATTGTATGAAAGATACAAACTGTAAGAGAAGTGAGAGTAATTTATTATTTTGTTGACATAAAAATCTTATTTTTCTCTGTGTTTTTTTATTTGTCCAATATAAATTATCAAAATTCAATTGTAATGATAAAGTTTTTACTCTGTGAATAGGTGTTCTTCAAGTGTGCAGATTTTTTTCACCCATCTGTAACTGACAATTCCTTGTCATTTTATTTCAGTTCTTGCACAAAGAGGCTACTTCAAAGACAAAGCTTTTGTAAATTATCTTAAATATTTACTTTATTGGAAAGAACCTGAATATGCAAAATACCTGAAGTAAGTGATAAAATCCCTTAGGTTTCTGTATTTCAATGGTTTGGCATTGACCTCCTGTTATGTACCGTATAGCAGCATGTCAGGGTTTGGTTTCTGCCTGTAACCTTACCTTTGGCCTCCCTGCTGGGGTTATATGCAACGTAGATTCTCCTCTTTCCGCCAGTCCGAATGTAGCAGGAATGGGCAAAATTATAAAACTCGTATCTCACGAGTTGTGTGTGGAATCTTCCTTTACAGCCGTTATCTGCACTTTCCATTGGTTTAAAGCTGTTGAACATTAGGGTACTACTTCAGTTAGGCCCCACAAGTGCATTTTAAGATTAATTTTGCATTGTCGATGCTTACGTGAGAAAAAGGATGACTTTGTGTTTTTGCAAATGTGCAAATTCTTTCAGTTTTTGGGAAAATGTTTTTTGTCATGTTCTTTTAAACGGGCTCTGGAAACAGGTGTTGTAATTGTTATAGATTTGCTGTATCAAACCGAGCCATTGGGGAAGCTCGTCTAAGCAAGCAGGAATGTGCATTTGCAAACTGGACTGGCCTTGTTTCCTGGCCTGATGCTGCAGTTACCAAGTCAGCGTGTGGAATGTGTGCAGGCTGAAGGGGTTTCACACTTGAGTAAAGCACATACATGACAACACTAAAGTAATGACCTTCAAAAGTACTGGAGACTCCAGATTTAGTGTCCCTTGTAAAAAGCTGTATTAATGTGTGTTTATTTTTAATTCAGGTATCCTCAGTGTTTGCATATGTTAGAGCTGCTCCAGTATGAACATTTCCGCAAAGAACTGGTCAATGCTCAGTGTGCCAAATTTATTGATGAGCAACAGATCCTCCACTGGCAGCACTATTCCCGGAAAAGGATGCGCCTCCAGCAGGCACTGGCTGAGCAGCAGCAGCAAAATAACACCTCTGTAAAATGAAAAGCACGTGAAGTAGTCATGATAAGGTGTACTTTGCGTCAGTGAACTATTTACAGGAGAGGAATGAACCCTTGTGTAGGTTTGGCTCTGGATGTGTGTCCCTTTAATTTGGATTTATCAAATGACTAGAGTTGTTTTTGTTTCGTCAGCGCCTTTAGAGACTAATAAACACCTAATGCAATTTATTACGTAGCATGGACAATTTTGTAAGAGCTTTACTTAGCATTGTTACTGATTTCTCTTGATTTTGAAAACAAAACGGATTTGTTACTTACTGATATAAGTATCTACAAAAAGTATAGCTCCAAAGGCTGTCCCTAGGAGGCCTTTTCTCTGGAGAATAATGATGTGTCTTAGCGTGACTGCTACTTACAGCTGCGGGACAAGCAAAGGTGAAGTGATGATATTCTACAAAATCCAAATTGTGGGTTTTTTCCTTGAAACCAAGCTGAGCTATTACTTGTCATTTCTGTTTCACTGGCAGTCATTGCTGCTGGGAGTTTGGTAGGGTTTTCCTTACACATATTGTACAGAGAGAAGTCAGTGTACAAGACAGGGAGTGGAGCAGAGGTAAGTGCTGATAGACTGTGCAGATACAGAAGGAAACGGGCTGTAGCTCCGTTCCATTAAACTCAGCTTCCTTGAATCTTGGCCTCTGCCCCTGCAGCAGTGGCTGCTCTGGGGCCTCTTTACAGTCCATGTAGTGAGAACAATGTGTGGGGGAAAGGTGTGTTGCTGCTTGGAGTATTGGAGAAGCACTTGCTATTTATTCCTATATGTTTTTTATTGTAAGAACGCAGCTCTTGGCAGCTGCCAGGGTTTTAATTTTCATATTTCAGGCTGTATTTGTGGTGCATTCGTGCTGCATTTCCTGTCCTTGTAGGAGCAGGTGCTCCAACTGTCAGCCATTAACATGCAATCAGTGACACTGTCAGCCTTCACCTTATCACACTTGGACTGAACAGAGAAGCCATTAAACATCTTTGGCATTGAAAATTTATCGTAACAGTATCAGTAGCTATGTGGTCAGATTTAGGAGGTACAAGGAGGTTTTTCTGTTTCTCCCCTTCCCTCTTACTCACTATGACAAATGTAACTTGGCAGTTATTGTTCAGTCAGCACAGGCTGCTCTCAGTCTCTAACATGAGCTCAACTCCTTTGAAAAGAGGCTGTTTACAAAGTCAAGTTTATTTGAACATGAAAGGAAAGATACAGTTTTTTGTTGGAAGACTTCAGTGTAAGGTTTGGACCCAGAATTTAATAACACTTCTCGACTAGTCTGAAGTAGTTAACCATGAAAGTTTTAACAAGTCAATGATTCCTTGAAAGGACACTGCAGTAATTGAGATTACCATCTTCATCAATGATTGGCTAATGAGGGATTTAGTCTTCAGTAAACAACATCCGCACAAGCTCTGCTTTAAAACATTCTTCTTCAACCAGCTTCTGAGGCTGAAAGAGAAGTTGACAAGTTTTAGGGGCAATTCAAAAACCTGTTGTAGCCCAGAGCCATCTGTACACACTAATATTAGCCACACCCAGCAACTGTTGTCCTGGGGAGGGGGGTAAGTGGGGTGAAGCAAGTGAGGTAAGAATAACTGAAACATTCCTCAGGGTTTTCTGACCTTGAAAGAGGCATTTCTAAGAAAGTAATTACTAATTTAAATAACATGTACAAGTTAAAACTTGAGCTGCAGTCTGAGTCGAGTGTACTGCACATAACTTGTTTCACTCCCGTAATTCAGCGTTTGGATTTTTCAAAAGCTGAGGAGCTGCAAGTGAGGAAGCTTAACAGTATGTAGCTAAGAATTTTCTCAACCCCTCAAGCGCTACAAATCAAGTGTACATATTCGCTTTACTTCATGTTTATATTAGAGACAACATTACAGAGTGAGCAGAGTGGTTCTCTCTTGAGGACCTGTTTGAGGCAGGAGAACTGCATGGCGGGGGCTGTCCTGCATGTTCTGCTCTCCTTGAACAAGAGAGGGTTCTTGGAGAACTAATTCATTTACAGCCCTAAGCTCCTGCCACGTCCCCATCTCAACACCTGTAGATCCAGAACATACATCAAATCACTTACTGTTCCATATTTAAGTAGTGTAGGCACTCCTGTTAGTTTCAGATTCCTCCTGAATTCATTGTTGGGATCCTTCCAGCTGTTCAGAAAGAAGGGGTTAAGCACAGCTTGTAGAGGGGTATTTTGAAGTTAAAATTTCTTCAAAGGGATGATTCAAAGGCCTTTGCCTCATGCCTTCCCAACCCATTTCTCAGAACAAGCATGCAGTTCACTTTAGGGATGGTGAAGACCTCAAAAAAGGATTGATTCCTCACAGAAAAGGGCAGTTCAGTCAGTTTATTCAACGGGTTAGTTAACCACCAGTCCACCGATGGCAAAGTTATCCCAGTTGCTGGCATTCAAAGTTACTTACTAGGCTCTATCTCCCACTAGGCAGTAGATGAAAACCGACTCATCAGGCAGGTTATGAAGTTCCTTCCTCACAACTGGTTCAGCTAGAGAATAATTTTTAAAATCTATTAGTAGTTAATACTTGTACTGTGTTACAGAATCACATGGATTTACTTGGACCAGCAATGCTGCTAATTAATGTTTGGTCTGCTTCAGTTAGGGATCTGTCTTTCATTTCACTTGGCTATCCACAAGCTTGGCAATGTATTACATGTTCAACGTTGAGTGGACTGGTCTTGGAGTAACGGCCAATTTCTGCTCTAACAAGTAAGAAAACCACTCGTTGCGTCCTGCCGATGCAGCAGCACGGCTCCCTAAGGCAGCTCTACACGTGCAGTTCAGTGCGATGGTTTCTGCCTTCACCTGCTGCTGCCGGACACCGTCGGGGAGGGCACTGCTGCGCCTCGACACGTACGGCAGAGCTGAATTACCTGCCCGTCGGACTGCTGGTTTGCTGGGCCGCGCACCAGCCTTCGAACGGCCCGGGCCGGCCCGTGCTCGCTGTGGGTAACGAACCGGGCACAGCCCGTTCGGTTCGCCAGGGGGAACTGCGGCTGGAGCTTGGCACCGTCACCGGG